AGCTACATATTGCAGTATTTTACCATAAAAAGAATTTAGATAGTTTAACGAAAACAAACCCAATTATACAGAATCGTACTAAAGCCTTTCATAGAATTATTACGATCTCGTCGTATAAAAGTACTGTTCACATTTAAAGGTGATTTTGATTGTATGGACTGGAGTGATGAACGTTTGACCAACTGGGGTGAATCATGTTCTTTCAATCCAAATGTAATGGAATATAATGAACATATTTGTCATGCTTCAATGTACTCATGTGGCGATGGACAATGTGTTGATTGGATAACTTGAATGGCATTTCAACGAGTTCTTCCAGCAGATAATGATTGTTTCAGCAAGCGTAATCTAAACTATATGTGTGAAGTGAGTCTGCACAAGCAAGCGTGGACGCTTGAAAATGGATTGTGTTGGCCAGACGAGAACTATAATGATTTACGCTATCCTTCATGGAGCGCAATGGATTCATCAACATTAACTGACGAAAAAAGTGTCAATATTTAGTTCAATGCTATTTTTCAGATGCGTTCGAGCGAGATTGTCCATGCAATCGTGAGAACTGTTCACAAATAATTTCACTAGTGTATAAAGACATTGGACGTTTTATTTTGTATCCACCACCAGGATTGATCAATGCAAACATCCTTTTATTCTATAATAGCATTGGTGTCTGGGACGAAGTAGCTATCAACACTTTTACGCTTGATGGAAATATAAAATGTCGAGGATTTCATTTTACAATGCAAAGTTTTATTCCATTACGCTTCAGCGGAGCGCTGGCAATCCCTCCTCTACTCAGTGGCAAGCTTTGTGATCCTCAGTTTTTCAAATTTGGACACCAAGACTTTAATTCAACGTTGAAATATGACAAGTTTTGTTGGAATAATTCGTTTTCATTCGATGGTCAACCATACGCTGTTCATCCTAATGCATGTGGCGATAGTGGAGCATGTATCTCTCAATATCGGATTCGTGATGGGATTAGAGATTGGATCTTGGTGGAAAACACCGAAAAGGAAAACGTCGAAAGCGAGGAAAATGTCGAAAAAAAGGAAAGTGGAAAATATCGAAAAAAAATTTTTTGTCGAGGAAAATATCGAAAGGAAAATGTCGAAAAGGAAAATATCGAAAGCTAAATATCAATTGTATTGATTAATCATTATGATTGATGTTGCTTTAATTATACTACAAAGAAAATTTCCATACTATAGCATAACGTTTTATTGTTTTTTCTTTCCAATTAATAAGGATAGACTTGATAAAAGTTCATTAGCGTTTATCTGTTGTTGAATGAATCTTTATTTTACAGTTTCAAATCTTTTTTGAAAGGAAATGGTTTTTTTTGATTGCTTTGGTGGAGATGCACCAGCTTCTAATTGAATTAAAATGTGTTCAAAGCGAACATGCTCACTTTGAATCAACTGTATAAAACACCATATATTCGGGTGCTTCTTGGATAGTCGAATGGAGAATCTAAGATTATACGCTATAATAAAGAATAATATAGTTTAGAACTTTAGGATACATTCATGAAACATATTAATCTACCCTCCGATATGTTATTAGTATGATGAATAACGTCGAAAAAATTTCACATTGAAATCGGAACAACGCCATGTACCCATTGATTTTTAAAGTATAATAATAAATCACTTAATGCTGCAGATGTAATTGTTTCCAGACGTTGAAACTGACTATGCACTTGCTCTATCGGCATAAGACTTAAAGCCATGATTTGTCGATATTGATTACGAATGGCTTCATTATGTAGATAATCACTTGCTAAACCTAGATCAGTGATTTTTCGGTGAACTGCTTGGTTAAAATGAAACATACAGCCAGAGTGAATAGCAAATGGAAACTACAAATAAAATATAAACAAGATGAATATGTATTATTAACATAACAATAGTTACTTCTTGTTGTATAACTGGTAACAAACAAGGTTCAAAATCTGTAATGATACGTTTTGGATCAAATTTGGTTTTCAAAAAAATAGCCTGTTCCTTTAGTCGTTCAAATAATTCCAGGTATGTTCTACCACGTTTATTTGACAAGAGACAAAATGCAACGGGTAATCCTTCAACAAAATTGAATCATTTCGAAAATTCAAAATATCATGTGTTTTTAAGATATACCTTGACCAAATTTTTCGCCATGTATCAAGTAAACTTGTTTAAAAGGAGCAGGTGCAATATCAAAGGTTCCGTCCATAAAAATTGTACTACTTTCGTATAGTAGCTTTAATTGTTGATCACTCGCAAAAATTAAAATACGATCTTGACCTCGTTTAAGGAAAATATCTATCAATAAAAAACGTTTTTCTGTTAATGTTGATTGATATAAATCAGGAATTTCAAACATAAAATTCGATGGAATTACAGGTGTTTTCTTTCGGCTTGCTTTACTCATATTTGACCCTTAATAATAGAAAAATTGTGATGTTTAATAGATATAACTATTACTTACTAAATTCAACTACAGTTGGTATAAAAGCTGTTGCTCCTTTTGAAATATTCGCTTTCACAATTTCTTCATCATATATTTTGGTTATAGAGGTGGTTTCAGCAAGTATTCTTTCTTTCATTTTGCCTCGTAGCAGCGTAACAGTTACTTCATCAGGATTAGAACTATGATTGTGATCACCTTTGATACAGATAAATTCACCATTGATGTTCGTATGTACGTACACACCACATGCTTTCTCATTGCAAACCCAATATTTTTTGATTCAGTAGTCTTATTGCATTTGAAAAAGTAATTTTTATATATTATTATTGGTTTGCCTTTATTAGACGTACCAAACAGCAAATCAGAGTGCTGATTTTTCATAGATTTTTCTCTAAATCCATTTTTACGCAATATATTTTTGTGTGCAAATATTAGTGTTAAATAAATAGTATCCATTGCGCTAGGTCAACAAATGACCAATCACGATGAGAAAAGGCAATAGCAGTTTATATCGTCTCTGACATCTTTAAAGAATTCGAATTTTCTCTTTCTTTCTAGATTTCGATGTTTTCCTTTTCGGCATTTTCCTCTTTTCTCTTTTTGTGTTTCGACATTTTCCTTTTCGGTGTTTTCCTTTCCTACTTTATTTTCGACGTTTTCCTTTTCGGCGTTTTCCTTTTCGGCGTTTTCCTTTTCGACGTTATCCGCCAACCCCAGAGATTGCCTAACTGTTGAAGATGAAGATCTGATTTCTGACAACGCTTATCGTAAAGGACAGGCTGGACGACATCGTTTTCAATGTTTTGATAATGAACATGAATGTCTTCCATCATTATCGGTGGGGGCAGGAGTGTCTCGATGCTCAAATAAATATGACCAAATATGGTATGGAATTGGTGATTCTCTGGAAACAACTAAATGTCAAAAAAGTGATCTTTCCGATTGTCACCGTCTAAAAGAATACATAAAAAAAATCATCGATGAAGAATATTTCTGAAAACATGTTGCATACTAATGATGAACAAAGAACAACAATCCAACAGATACCTTTTCGGTCATATTGTAATAGCTTCTGGGACTTATATAGCGGGTTGGATGAATCGCCTTCTTTATGTAAAAATTGGACGTGTCTAGATGACCAATATCAATGCCTTACAGGACAGTGTATCGAACTTGAATGGGTTTGTGATGGTGAATGGGATTGCATGGATGCTTCAGACGAGGAGGCTTTTGTTCTGATGGAAGATCAATTATCTCATTCTCGTAATGTTCGTCTCCCCAATATAGCGGTGCTGCTTCATTCATGTCGGAAACGATATTTAAATTCAACATTCTCCAATAAATGTAGTGCATCTGTTGAACTTGGTTGTTTTTTGTCTCAAGTATCGAACCCATTGGATATTAAAACCAATCGTCCGTGTGTGAATCTAACTCAACTTGGGGATGGCATTGAAGACTGTTACAATGCTTATGATGAGAGAAATTCTTTAAAAGTACGATCTTCCATATCAGATATGTTGGGTTATCAGCTGCCCTGTGGAAATTTTACAATGAAACATCCATTTGTTTGCCAACCAAAGAATAAGAATAACTGCACTTTGATCCTTTGTTCTAACCATAGAGACACGAGCACGTTATGCTCTGGCCATAATGACGTCATTTGTCTTGAAGAGAATCGTTGTGTGACGAATGGAAGATGTAATAGGCAACAAGACTGTCTACATGGAGCGGACGAGTACTGGTGTCCTTCTGATTTGTCTACCAACGGTATGTTATATCGCCGTAAGAAAAAATATTTCCTAGAAACAACTATAAAGTTTTACTTTCCCCAATGATATTCTCCTAAAAACACGCTAGTAGTTGAGCGACGAAAACTGTCAGGCATGACGGTTAATCCAGAGGAAAAAGAAGTGCCAATAAGCTACTCCTACGCCTGTAATCGAGGTGTAACGATTATCAATTTAAATGAGACTCGCTGTGTATGCCCGCCAGCATATTATGGCCGTTTCTGCGAATTCTTCAGTGATCGAATTACCATCATGGTAAAAGTTGATGAGAAAACAGTCTTTTAATATAAGATTTGGTCAATGAGAGCGCACAAATGAAATAAATCGTATGAAAGAATTTTAATAAAATATTATTTTACTTTCACAAAAGTTACTGAAATTGATTATACGGGGGAGGGGGGGGGGACATGAGCTTTTAACGACAGATAGTTTTGCTTAAGATAGATTTGAGCTGATGAAATAAAAGTATGAGTACAACTATTGGTCTTGAAATTAAGCTCGATCTTAATTACGATTGGATGGTTAATGACTAGATAGTTTCGTTTCTCTTTTTTTCGTATTGATAAAGTAATACTCATGATGTATGAGCAAGTTTCATCAATTTGTGGTTGGGTTCAAGAGATTTTGATTGAAGTCAATTCAAAGGTTTACACAGATTTCAGCATAATTTATAGTGGTAAACCAATATTTATGGTGCATATAAGGAAGTTGGAGGAAACTGTGCACGTGAAGAGTAGACTCTTGCCTATCCCATGTTTCAATGTCGTTTCTTTTCGATATTATTTTCTATACTTTTGATTTTTGGGCGTAGTTTGTGGTGAATATGAGCTTAAGTTCTTTCTTTTTGTACATCCACACTCTTATTATATTGATAGAGAGAAACCACAAGTAGAACACGTGTATGCAATAACTTTCATACAGTGATATAGTTTAAGAGTTTGTGAGGACTTCACAATGTTATGGGTGCGAGTATGAGCGTGAAGGTTGTCTTTTAATTTACGCACATTCATAGCAAAACATACACCCTAACTTGAAATTAGTCTCTCATAACGTAAAAGAAACGAAAGCAATCAAAGACTTGGCATTGTTCTCTTGCACTGAAGACAGACAGAACTAAACTATTCATAATGTGAAGTAGTATTTCTGAGAAGGAAATCGTGACTAAAAAGTAATGTTTGATGAATAGTTTTTGAATGAGAACGTTCCAACTCTATGAGTAGTTAGCAGTAAAAAAATGCATGAATTCCAAAAGTTAGAGAAATCAATTAAAGATACAGATTCTTCAATCTCGACAATATTTAATGAAATTGATCAAGTTTATAGTTCCTATAAATAATATATTCACAAAAATAAAAGCCAAAGGTAGTTAATATATCAATAAAAATTATCCGACTTACATCCGTAAGATTATAAATTACAGAGGAAACTATAAGTTGAAATGATTAGTTATGATCACATAACAACAAAGAAAAGTTTCATGAATAAATTTGGCCCAATTTACTCAAACCTATACTATTTGTTTAAAAAAATATTCTTTGAGTTAAAGTAATTACTATATCTAATTTACAGGTTAGCTTTTTTCAATACTTTATTCAAAAACATCAGTCTCTAGTATATCAATGAACGGTTAATTTCATAAAAGATTAAGAAAATCGTTCTATTGAAAAATAAGATGAGTATGTGAATCGAAGAAATGTTCTTCTGTTTACACAAGAAGCTATGACTCAATCAGGTACTACTGGATATTCAACCAATCTGTCTCTTTCGTATGAATCGGAAAAATAGATAGAATTAGACTATAATCATCGAATGTTATGAATTGATTTTTAAGTAGGTTTTCTTTAAATCAATGAATGACTCTTTTGTTTTTATAATATTAATCACAGTCACTAGTAAAATCTCATAAGTGAAAATTGAATTAAAAAATTTTTCACAACTAGATATCAAAATGTTAAGTATTATTTTTCTATAACATTAATATACATGGAAATATGTTGAAACGGAAGAATAAAGGAAAGTCATGTAATCAGAGAAAACCAATAAAAAATAAGATTTTAATCACGTATATAATTTGTGTCCTTTCATTTTACACTAAGTTCTGCATATGACTTGAGCAAAACAACATCAAAAGCATATATTTTTGTAACTGACAACTTTCCCAGTAAATAGAATTTTCTTTTAGCGCATCTTAGTAAAAATTGGTTATGATTTCATTCGTTAATATGAAACTCTCAACTAAAATATCGTTTCTATTGATTTTGGTATCATGGATCAGTGACTAACTGCTCATAGTAATGAATTTAATAATTATGTTTATTCGATTTATTTTATACAGTGATCAAAGTTGTACGCTTATTTGTTAAAATATTTCTCAATCATATTAGATTATGTCGTATTCATTTCTCTTTAGCTAGATTTAAAAGTTGAATTCATTTTCCATTGTAGTCTTTTTCTATGAGAAATAGATCAAGATATTTTCATTATGCTATAATACTATGCTAAATCTTTTCTTAGTTAGATGTGGTTATGCTTTATATATGTGAAAGGTTAAGAGTTGCAATCAAAAAGACTCTCTGAACTCTCATCTGTATGTCGTCGAACCCTTTTATGAACTAAGATTTCAGTAAATCTGACGACATATAATTAATAAATTTAAAACGATTCAAGACAATATCTTTTGGCAAAACTGAGGCTTAATTTAATCAGGTTCTGACGATAGTCCTGATTTTTTAGAACTGTTTGATCTCGAATTCGCAGGCTGGTCAAATTATCTTAGAATGTTAAAACAGTAAAATTCGATCGAGCAATTTTCTTGATGAAAGCAATTCTCGTAAAAAATTCATTCAAGCAAAAGTAAGCATTCTTACAGAATTCTGTCTTATTCATATATACACTAATCAGAATTCCGACTTTTTTTTAAAATTATTTAGCGTATATATATATATATATATATATATGTCGCAGTAGAAATTAAAATTCTACTAGTAGAAATTGAAATTCTACTGAATTTTACCTATAGTAGAAACTAAAATTTCAATTTCTACTAGTAGGATTTTAAATTCTACTGAATTTTAATTTCCACTACAACATATATATATATATGTATATCATATAAAACGTTATTGAATCGAGAAAAAGTTGAAATAACTTACTTAATGTAGTTTTAATTGATGGTTGTACTACTACTGCTGCCAATTTTATGTCATTCATAGCTGATGCTAATGGTTGATCTAAGTCTTTATTAATTTCAATTAAATGCACAAGGTATGAACCGTTAGATTGTTCTAATGGATCACTCTTCACGCAAAATTGTGAACCCATTCGTAAAATAACTTCATCTTCTGCTTCAAATTCTGTATATCCAGAAACTATTTTCCGTTTATAACTTTAACCATAAAAAGCGTTGATTTTTTTTTATTATCAAGAAAACCTTTGACAACGTCCACTGATGACGAACATGAATTAACGCTTCACCATGTTACAATTTGATTTTTGGTGAAGTTCTTGCCAATATCAAGTGGTGCACCTCTCCATACTGCCTCTTTCACAGCAGGTAATTTATTCAATGCTGCATCAAATAACTTTAGATATGGAAGCCATACCTTAACTTCTTGTCGTTTTTCGGATCGTAGCGCTCTATTTAATACACGATACAAAGTAGTATCAGGCCATTCCATTGTATAGATGTAAACAGCAGCTGCTGGATCAGGCATTAGTTCATGTTCTGATGGATAATGACAGTTTCATTTAGCTATCTTTATATAATACGGTAATTCATCAATTTGAGGCTCGATAGGTTCGAGCTCTTTTTCAATTGGAACAAGTTTCTCATTGCGATAACCAAAGAGGTGGAAGTCTCTAAATGAACTATCGATGCCACCAAAGCAATTCATAATGTACGTATTTTATATTAGTGGCGGAGCCAGAGGAGGAGCTTGGGGGAGCTGGACTCCCTCTAGAAATGTTTGAGTTTTCCCTAGAAAATGTCGAGCTCTCCTGGAGAATTTAAGAATAGTTATGTACTTTTCAGCAATTGACTATACATTTGTCGAAGTAAAAAAACTATTTTCTTGTCGTAGCTTTCAATTAGCAAACAGGGGCGCCTCTTTATCTCCAGCTAGTCAAAAAAATTTCGACATTGAAATGTTGGAACCGTTAATTGATCATATATCGTTGGAGAAAAATGCGATACACAAGAAAATTTCTCTTACAAAACCCGTGATTAAAGATACTAAATTGATAACTATGATAGATATACTGAATCAAAAAAAGCCAATAAAAAAGAGCATTTCCTTCAACTGTTGCTTTGATCAAAGGCCCTACCACATTTTTTGTCTCGTTCGTTGCATGTGAAAGATCGTTTTCAAAAATGAAATTGTTTAAAAACTACGCTCAAAACTCGATGGATGATGAGACACTTAGTGATCTTAGCGCATTGGTTATAGAAAGATAATTCAACATAAATTATGAAAAAGTTGTCTGAATATTCGTAATAAAACAAAAATCAGTTGCGGCTCCGAGATTTTCCAGTACATTAGATCTCAGTTCCAGAGCATGGGACCCTGATGAAACATAATGGAGGATGATATTGAACCCAAATGATGAGCTTCTATCAAAAACTTTGACCTTCCCAGTTTGTGAAAAAACTTCTGTTTTCTGAGCGCACCCAGAATTTTTCTTTTGCTGCTAGTAGTAGTCCGTTTTTTAGAATTTTATAGTAAGCTACATCGAATTTCATCGGCATATTTCTTATTTCGCCTAAAAATATGCATTGGTTCAGAAGTTATACCGTTTTGAAGTTTTGCTAAAATTTTAGCTACGCGTATAAAAATTTAAAACCATATAACATCTGAACCGATACACATTTTTAGGTGAAATTTCATATTTGCCTATGAAATTCGATGTAAATTACTATAAAATTCAAAAAACGGACTACTACTAGCATCAAAAGAAAATTTCTGGGTAAGCTCAGAAAATAAAAGTTTTCCCACAAACTGCAATCGCAAATGTTTTTAATAAAAGCTCGTGATCTGAGTCCCATGCTCTGAAGCTGATATCCAATGTACTGAAAAATCCTGACTCCATCACTGATAAAAATAGTAGGATTGTGTTAATGTGTAAGTCATGAGAAATAAATTCTAAATAGAATCTGATCATATGTTGATACATATATTAAACGAATACGCGAGCAAGAATAAGAAGTGACTTGGAAAACTTAAGATGGAGTTCCACTCCCCCTAAACCAAAATCCTGACTCCGCCACTACTTTGGATTCCCTACAATTCTAGCATTACTATTATTTATATAGCGAAAACGAGTGAAACTCAAATCATATTTTTCTAAATGTTTTAAAAACAATTAATAAATAAATAAAATTGCTTGTAATAAAGAATTTTTCATCAATGGAAAGATGTCAAGAGTTCACCATTCGTCCCCATCCTTTTAGTATATTATTGCTTATTAATGTCTAGCAGCCTGACTCATTTTTCTTGAAAGAGATTCGCTGCGTTCTGTTATTACTCAACTTTGTTTCATATAATGACACGTATATAGCCTTCATGAGCTTATTCTTTTTTCTTCGTATGAAACTATATTCGCAATCATCGAGTAAGAAGTGAAACGCTTAAAATGCAAGGGGGTAAGTGCTGGCATCCAGCACCCTGGCACCTCAGCACCTACCCAGCACCTCAACACCTCAGCACCTGCCCAGCACCTACTCAACACCTACTCAACACCTGCTCAGCACCTGCTCGGCACTTGTGGGTGCTGTGAAGATTAAGAAATTAGAACATAAATATTAATTCAGAAGTTGCTTAGCAATTGGGTAACAGTATTCAGATTTGGTGTTTTTGCCATAGAAAAATACTGATTTACGATAGAAAATACCATAGCACTTGTCCAATACCATTTTAACACTCTTTGGCAACGGGGTAAGTGCTGGCACCCAACACCGAAAAGTGCTGTACAGGTGCTGAGGTGCTGAGCAGGTGCTGAGGTGCTGAACAGGTGCTGAGGTGCTGAACAGGTGCGGAGGTGCTGAGCAGGTGCTCAGGTGCTGGAAAGGTGCTAAGGTGCTGAGCCGGTGCTGAGGTGGCAATTGATTTTTTTTAGGGTACCACATAAACTAAACCACTACATTGTGATTGATTAAGAGCGCTATCTATCAGATTCATTGTTGTACTTCAATACTAGCGAACTCTTTAAGTGTTCAATCAGAAATTTACCCATTTTACAAAACTGTCTGATTCTAATTCAATTTCCTTACTCAAAAAATCTCGTTTTTGTGCTTTTTTTCTGATATAAAAAAGAGAGGAACTTCCGTTAAATATCTTTCAGTTACTTTAAGAACTCTTATTTGTTCCATGGGATGAAATGCTTTTTTTTCATATTGTTTAAATATGGCATATTGTCAGTAATATAGCAGTATGCTTGTTCGTTCCTTGATATTTTTTATGATAAAGTTACTTATTTCAGATAAATATTTTAGCTCATGTCGTCATCATCATTATCGAGAAATATAAATCAAAATGATTTACCAGATGATATTTTCAATTACAATAATGAACGATTTCATGATTATATTCAACAATCATATGGCGATGATCTTGCTGCTTTACTTAATTTTCAAGCCATCAGAAATGGATTACATCTTGTTGAAACGTCATGTGATGATATCTTATTAATTTTCCAACAAGAATCTGAAGAAATTAACAAACTGCGACAATTATGTTGTTTCAAAATTAGTAATGGCAAATATGAAATAAAATTGGGTGTTAAACTTGCAATTAATAGTCTGATCAAGTTATTGAACGTAAAGCGAGAAGAACAGAAGAAGAGAAAAAATCGAACTTCAACTAAACGTACATCAGCCAATGTTGATACACTAAAATCTGTTGGTCGAATTCAATCACAAAATGAAATGACTGTACCACCAACAATAGCTGCTTCACCAGTTAGTGATGCACCACCAACACAATTAGCATTACAATTAACACAAAATCGCTTAAATGATATTGATCATATAACAGATATTGGACAACGGATAAATAAATGGTGGAGTACGTATAACAATAATAATGATTTATTCTTATCTGAAGGTACTCATTATCTTTTGGAAAATCAATAAATCTATAAATGATACATATGCGTGTATTTTATATTGTAAATGTCGTATTCGATTCAGCTTGCCATTAATGGCAACAGGTGTTTTTAAATTATCAGCATATTGTCGGCACTTAAAGGAAAAACAGTGCTTAGCAATGTCAATGACTGTGAGTATGTCTTGTGTTAAAGATAAAATTTCGATGAATTTTTATACATCTAGATACGTGAAAAATATAATAATTCAATTAATAACGGAAATTCTGCAAATCGATCAAATAGTTCTTCGTCAAAACGAACTCGGTCACCACCAAGACACACAACTTTGAACACAAAAGAAAATGTCTTAAAAAAGAGCAAATCATCATCTTCATCGTCATAGTCATTGTCAAATAATAAACATGTTGATCAACATTAAAAATGAATGATATTCCTCATAGTTCTTATCAAAAGCTATATTGTTTTTTTACTTCGCCATATGAAAACATCATAGAAATATATATTTTTTTATTTATTGTATATGAATTCGTTGTATTTTATTCATAGTAAATTTCTTTTTCGCTTATATTACATGAGCTTAATCGCTTAATAAAAAGAATATATACTGTTTTTTTTTGTATTTAATAGGAAATTATTTATATTTGTAGCTTATTGATTTAGAATAAAGAATTGTTGAATTCATTTTGAACAGACTCTTTTACACGCTTTCAGAAAGATTTGTTATTTACATCTATTTACTTTTTATCACAATAGTATTTTACTACAGCGAACAATATTTATATTTCTTCAACAGTAATTATGAATATTTTACAACTTAAAGAATTAACAGATGAGATGATGAATTTAAGTCTTAATAAATTTTATGATTTTATTGAAATTGCATTAGATAAAGATTTAAGTGAACTATTTAAAGTTCAGGCAATTCGAGAAATGTCATCGTTATCATCTATAACAATAGATCAATTGACACAAGTACTCACCTTCGAAATCGATGAGTTAAAAGGTTTAAAAAAGTCTCTTGGTTTTACGACAAGTGATGGAAATTTTCATCTTCGACTTGGTCATCGAAAATTATTAGAGCATTTATTATCTTTAGTACAAGCAAAAAAAACTTTGTCTGTGAATAATCGTGAATTATCAAATAATTTTATAGAAAATGATATAGAAAAAAAGTTAATCGAGTTGTTAAAACATCAAACATCTAATTTATCCGATGGACATAATGTTCCTATTCTTATTCCATGGGTTATAAATATTTTTCAAAATTTAAAAACAACAAAAAATAAATATAGTTATGACATACATATTCAACAATTTGCATTATTAATATATATTTTTGGAGGTAGAAATTGTTATGAATTTTTGTTCGTTTAAATCTATTCGGATCATTACCTCACATTTCAAATGTAGAATCATTGATAAGAAATCAAGAAATGAGAATGATTGAAAGCGAATTTCGATTTCAATTAATAAAAGAACATTTAAAACCTAATAAATGTAATTATGTATTTATAGCCGAAGATGCTACTAGTTCAATATGTCGCATAGATTACGATGCAACATCAAATTCATTTATTGGTTTTTCTTCACCTTTAATTGATGGAGTAGCACAGTCGAATTTTTTTCAGACAGAAAATTTCGAACAATTAGAATTATGGCTTAGTGAAATCGATAAAGCGAAGTTTATTAATCTTTATATGTTAAAATCTTTAGTATTATCTGATCCACCATTTATTTTGACAGCTTACGGATCTAATAATAAAGCAAAAGCAATTGAAATCTTAAAAAGGTGGTTATTCATTTATCATCAATGTTTGATCCAAGATATACATGTTATAGGTTTTAGTACTGATGCTGATTCACGTTTTCTCAGGGCAATGAGGTTATGTTCTCGTTTTTTCGCAACGTTACCAAATTTTAATATATTAAAATATAAAGATATATTTCATATAAAAATTCCAAAACAATGGTCTTGGTTTTTCATGGAAGAACAACAAATTCTTTTTTTTATGCAAGATGGTATTCATATTGCTACAAAATTTAGAAATCAATTGCTTTCTGAAACAGCACATATGAAAATAGGATCTTATTCAATTGATATTCATGATGTATTTGATTTAATTGAATTAGAAAGCAAAATAGAGCACACTTTAATTAAATGTGACGTCGATCCCAAAGATCGTCAAAATTTTGCATCATGCTTAAGAATATCTTCTAAAGATGTGTTAAATTTACTAGAGAAAAATGAAAAAGCTACAGGAACATTTGTATACTTATCTTTATTACGATCAATAATTGCTGGATTTATTGAAAGATCAACAACAATCGAACAACGACTATTTCACATATGGACTGTCGTTTTTACATGTAGATTTTGGTTTTCATGGATAGAATATTTAGAATTAGAAAATGATAATAATAATTCAGAAACTCTATCAGATTTTTAAAAAAATACTTTTATCACCAAGCCAACTTTTTGGTGCATTGAAATAAATGCTCATACATTACTTTTTATAATACTTTCAGTTATCAAAAACAAATTACCAGTTGATGCACTTAATACATTTGCTTTCAATTCACAGATATGTGAAAATACTTTCAGAATCGCTAGATCTTTATCAGGTTCATTTTCTTCAAATACACATTTTAGTGTAAAATCATTTTTAAAGCGATGCGAAAAAATATCGATTATCAACTCAATTAAAAATCATGGTGGACAAATAGGAGAATACCAGTTTTATTTTCCACAACATCATAAAAATCATAAAGATACATGTACTTATTCAATAGATCATATTAATGAATTGAATTTAACAGAGATTGATATTGAAATTATTATCAAAAATGCATTTGAAGAAGCTAAAAAGTATGTTTCAATGGTCAATATGACTGATTTTTTGAAAGCAAAAAATATCTATACCTTATCAAGTTTAAGTACATTTACAAGATCAATTTTAAATAGATCATCATCAAAAAGGATTGATTATACAATTGATAATAATAGTTCGGATGAAGATTCTGATGAAGAGAATTTATATAGTGCAAATAGTATGTCAGATGTATTGAATAATGAAGATCAATTCTCACCAAATAATACTGATGACGAAGAGGAAGAGGAAGAAAATGTAATAGCAATTGATGTACCTCATACAGCACAAACAAAATTGAATGGTTGTCGTATATACGACAAAATCAATCCACAACAATCAAAGAAATATTTTGGAATACGTATTGGTTCATCATATAAATTTATACACAAGCAAACATCTTGCTGGTTGCTTACAACAGATAAACAACGACTGTGAAGTGATCGTTTAATTCGCGTTCGGGAATAAGAACTAAAATGAAATATATTTTGTTTGAAATTACTTTTCTCAGTTTTTTTTTCCATATGTTTCCTCATATAGCTTTTCATGTTACTGTTTTTCATATTATTGTTATTCATGTCGCTTTTCTTGTTGTGATTTTTCATACAGTTTTCGACGTTGTTCTTCATACGAATTTTTTTTATAGAATATTTATGACATTTCCTTTATGAAATTTTAATATTTTCATATAGTAGTTGTCAGAGAAGCAAAGTTTCTTCAATATCATTGAAAATAAATAGACGTTTGTGAAACGTTTACGCATTACTGAATATATTTTAAGGACCAAAGAGTGTTGAAATGGTATTGGACAAGTGCTATGGTATTGTCAGTCATAAATCAGTATTTTTCTGTAGCAAAAACACTGAATCTGAATAGTGTTACCCTATTGATAAGCAACTTCTCAATTAATATTTATGGTCTAACTTTCTAAGCTTCACAGCGCCCACAAGTGCTGAGCAGGTGCTGAGCGGGTGCTGAGGTGCTGAAAAGGTGCTGAGGTGCTGAACAGGTGCTGAGGTGCCGAGCAGGTGCTGAGGTGCCAGGGTGCTGGGTGCCAGCACTTACCCCCTTGCTCTTTGGTCCTTAAATTATATTCAATGAGCTGCAAATGGTTCACAAAAGATCTTTTTATTTTCAATGATATCGAAGAAACTCTATTTCTCTGACAACCACTACATGAAAATATTAAAATTTCATAAAGCAAATCTCAAAAATCGATGTGCGTAATACGTGTGGTTTCTACTACGTTGCGGAAGAAGAGAATTCTGTTCCAATGTTCTGGAAGAAAGTTTTTCATTTATCTTCACGGTCTAGTTAGACGTATCGTCATCGAAAATGGCCTAAGATAACAATTAAAACCTTTAGTGACCTATAAAATGTGGAGAACCACATCATTTGTTAGGAACACTACACATGCAAAGGGTATCCCATAATGACTGATAATAAATTGCTAGCGGTACTTTTCATAGTTTTTCTTGAACTAGAGAGCTAAAATTTTTATTACATATATATTTAATATCGATCTTTTATTTCTGAAAGTTTCAGTTCCCGAGCTTAAACTACTGGTGAAAGATCGAATTTTGAACTCGATTTTTGAAAGAATTTCATAATAACAAAATGCAAAATTCCAGTACAAAAATGTATGTATTTCACTCTTGTTGATGTATTTCACTCTTGTTGATGTATTTCACCCGTAGGTTTAGTTAGAGAGCTAAAACTTTCAAAAATAAAATATCTCTATTAGATATATGTGAGATAAAAATTTTAGCCGCCTATGTCAAGAAAAGGTATGAAAAATATCATTAATACTTTATTAACAGTTATTATGAGATACCCTTATGTGTGGGAGATGTTCCTAAAAAAATTATGTTTCTCCATATTTTATATGTTCCAAAAAGGTTTTAACTGTTACCGTAGACCGTTTTTGACAACGATACCCATAACTA